TTGAAATGGTATGTCGTTACCATTAGGAACTATCTAGTAGGCACTTTTCTATTCCATCTCCTCATTGTTTACTTACTCTCTGAAGCTCCCTCCGTTTGGCGCAAGATTCACATCCGCTGTTCAGTTTCCGGCCTCAGTGCCTCAAAATAGGCATATACCTGCCATTGAAAACTCGATTGCAACGGCTGACTTCTTCTTTTTTCTAGCAGGGGTCCGTTAATGGAGTCAACCTCTTCCACATTTCTCTATCTTTGCTTGAATCATTGGCGGTTACCTGTTATTGACCACAGTTGACCATAGGAGTAATTTAGCAGACGTAACGAAGTTAACTTGATCGAGAACAATAACCTCATGCAGGTTGAGTATTCCTAATTCGAAATGCTTGATTGGAATTCTGGGTATATTATGCGGTGGAATTGAAGAGAATTGAGAAAAAATGCAGACTTTCAGAAAAATTAGCACGGTAGTCACACACACCTCGTACCGACAGTGTTTGATGGTTTAGTGCATACCCTTGAAACAGCCGTGTTAAAAACGGGATCACCATGAGAACTTTCTCTAGTTCTGTAGTAGCGTGCCTATAAGCAAACGGGAATTGATGAAGTAACTCATAACGGATCATAAAATATCGAAATACAAAATATTGAAACAATATAACACGTTTTCTCACCTAAATTCTTCACAAAAACACAAAATAACTAATTTGCTTTTTTTGAATGAAATATTATGGCCTTACGTCAAAGAGCTGCCTGATATGAGAATGAAGTTACAAATGTTCCAGAAAGGGTCGCATCAGCTCCTTACAAATCACATAAAAATAACTCAATTAACCCGCAAGTTGAAATGAACCGGGTTCGTTGCAATACAACATCATCAGGTACAGAAAGACATTTTCATACAGCATACATAGGTTGGAAAGGAGGAGGGTTGAGGAAGGGGAAGGAAGAAGGGGTGGAAGTTAGGAGTTAATGGATTGTTTGCATGCTAAAATGCGAGCAAGGAAATAGGGTGCTTTTGACGTGTTCCCCTTTCTGGCCC